CAGTTAGATTTACAGCAACATACTATGAGCCTTGTACTGTCGCTGAACTTTGGAGTTTTGCCGCTTGGGTGAGCGATGCTCAGTTATTCGGTATATTTGTCAGCTCGGTGAATGTGGCACTAATACAGTTTTCTAAAATGTCATGAGCACCCCCAAGACGCCTCTGTCTAAAACTTCTAGGACCTTAGGAGTGATACATAACAATCGATGGTATTGGCTGGGTGACACAAAATCGCACGAATACTCAGTGTAACATTTGGATATGGTCCCAAGTTGAAATTTTGAAATGGGCAAGGGGTAATTGGACCGTTTTAGAATGGGCCAAATTTTGATTTGGTCCAGAGCGCATATATCTAATTCATAAGATACATTGTTGTATGATTTGCTATTGTTGGTGTAGAAGCAATAATGTCTTTCCAACTGTCGAAATATACATGCATGGTGAACCGACTTATCGAGAGATTTTAAATATTAAATTGCTTGGGAAGTTTTGGCCAAAATTGAATCATCGAGAGACCGACTTATCGAGTTTGCATGTGTATGACTTATGTCTGAATTTGGCATATAAATCAATGTCAAGTATGGAACATTGCTACCACATTGTTAAAATAAGCGAGAGCGACTGTAATATTTTATATTAATTATAGACAAATATTAATATGCAACAACCAACATATCGATTTACATAATACGTGCAGTGTCAATAACACTTGAAGCAGCGGTTCACAAGTGCAAGATATAAACGCAAACGTTCAAGTAGAATGCCAGTGAGAATATGCACCATGTAATCTTGTTCTACACATCAGGATTTACAACATACATAAAAAGATAACGCCTTACATTCTTAGAAAATTGGCTGTGCATTTTTTTCATGCATGTAGCGTTTGCAGCAACTGCATTAACTGGTTAACAAAGACACGTGGCGCGTGATTATAGCATGCCTTATTTACATTGAATAACTGTGGTAAAGGGACAATTGTAAGCGTAGGAATATTGTTGTGACAAGGACTGCTGAATGTCACCAATCAGAGACGTAATCCTTGAAGACTAAAGATTTTCCGATCCAAAGTGTTTATTTTACGGAATGACAACTTCCTTCTTCTGAAGTTACGGTTCGACTATGGTTGGTTGTAGTTCCTCTTTACTATTAATGGCTTCTACAACTTATTCCGATAACAAACGTACAATAGTTATTTGAAGGAATCAAAGTATTAACTGCGAAATGGATCTGTCGAACTGATCTATTTACAGCACAGTATGTATACAAAGTAATATTAATCATGAACAAATATATAATTACACTTAATTAACAATTAAGATATTTGCCTAAATATAGAAACATATAACAAAAACCAAAAATCACTTTCTCTGTCTCTCATTCCCCACACGTCACACGCGTTATCTTCCCCACACCTTTACATTCTCCTATCCTCCCACCATCCTTTATTCTCGTGTTCTGGCGAAACTTTGCTACTAAATGACGTCGACAGCTTATTCTTGACATTCCGCAGATATGAAGGATCTATGAAGTAATCCTGTAACAGACCCTCCAATTCTTGGAGCCGTCCTTCTAAATGCGATAAACGTTGCTCGGAGGTCGTGGTAAGTTGAGATGACAATACAGGAGAGACGAGGGGTATGTTCAGCGGATCTTGGATTTTTGTGGGTTTGCGCACAAGATAGTGCAGAGCGCCCCTGTAAAAAGAAATTGGACGTGAACGAAAAGGTAACACGATAGTCGAGTCAACGCAACCACCACCACTCCCTCTCTGGTCAAACGTTCGACATTGACTAGTAAGCAAGTATGCTGTTGACTTACCATGGTTTGAGTCTTGGCTGTCCGAAGAGTACCATATATACGCCACATATTGCCCCAAACGCACCACCAGCCAAACCAAGGGCCGAGAGAATTGTCTTAGACCTAGATTCAAGAGAATACATGATTATGTTACAAACCACCTAATAGTTTACACGCTTATTAGTAGTTCTAAAGTCTGTTACCTTTGTTGTTCCTGGACTTGCTGAAAGTATGATTCCGCTTGAACAGAGAACACTCCGGTATCTCCATCAGGACCAAAGCCTGGAGCATCTGCCCTTAATGGAAAGTATTTCGCAGTAGTTACTATTGTTGAAGTATTGTGATATTGCGGGGCAAAGCCTGATACTGCTCCAAAATCACGAGGATCTATATCTCGGAAGACGTATTGTTGGAATGACATCTGCAATAGTCAAATGGAAAAGAGTTGCAAAGAGGTTTACATTTATACGCGGAAAATGTGTACAGAATTTATTGCCCGTCCAGCCCTTCCTCCGTTTGGTTGCTTACCGAAGTAACCCATCCGGCCATACTGATAAAGTTGTTGGTTTGAAGCCTCATGTCAACTTCATATTTATAATTAGAGTTTTTGAGTTGCTCAGGTCTCCAGAGTGGATTAAAATCTGCATCAGGATGCCATTATCATCATCATTACTACTGCCGCAGTCAACCGTTGTATAAACAAAAACCTCTGTATTACCTGGATTGAACGCTTGCAACGCGAGGGCAGGGATTGATATCGAAGAATTCCAGGCTTTTGGGAGATCTGCTATCTTATAGAAAAAGTCGATTCGAAATAAATCCGTTTTACTAAACATGTACGTTTTATTGGTTGAGAAGAGATAGCAAAATTGATTGGGATCCGAGAAGTTTTTCAGGTAGATGAATTCCTCTCCTGTTGGACGTGTACAGTTCTCAAATCTTAAGAAACGAGAGGGGAAATGTGGAGGCGCGATTACAGTTATTATTTATGAAATGATCAAGAATAGTTACATTTTTACCGACGGCATACTTACACTTCGGTATTAGCTGCTTGCCAGGCGTTGAACGTACATTTTGTTAATATCAGAGGACTAGCTGGAGCACAAATTTCGATTTCTTGGCAACAAGACAAGTCGAAGGGCAGTTGTTAGATTTGCTCGTTCTATCAATGTCATCGTAATGCCAGTAATTCCTTCGCTCACCTGGCACTTGCAACGAATCTAGTCTCTCTAAAGACAGCTTCAGAACCGGCGTATCTCTTGCGATACCCCAACCCAGATAAGCCAAGTAGAACACATAAATGATCACTATAAGGAATCCCACTACAATACGTGACCATCGCAAAAACTTTGGTTCTGGATACTAGAAATATTAAGGACATTAAGTATCAATACAAGTTTAGTAGCAAAAGTTCCTCTTACTAATTAGTACAGACATTCTTTTTGGGGGGGTCGAACATAAACAACATCTTGACAGCGAGCTGTGGGTATCGAGATAGATTGGTCTGCGCATTTGGGCTTATATATGTATTAATGATGAGGCTTATGGCTCAAAAAAAACAAGCCTTTCCTCACAATGAACATAAAGATGACGCTTAGACGTTTTAAGTTAGATCGATAACTTGGAGTTACCGAGAAATTGTCTAAATTAGAATTTAATGGTATTAATATAGAGTCGACAAAGAGATTATCGGCTAATTGGCCCAATCTCCCCAACGCTTATCGTTATATGAGGGATTTGCAATTGTCAAGCCAATAAGGTGCAATGTTCACTCATATTTCCTGCATATAAAGGCCATAAATGGATGGTTGCCAGCCGGTTATTTTCACAACAGTGCATCGAACGGATAATGCATAATTCACAAGAGGTACGGTACAATGAACGATAGAATGATCGAAAATCGAACACTTAACTTGGCGAATTTCGGGGTTTTCGGTGTACTAACGAAGACATTAAGACTATATTTAGAAATCGTTAGTATTATTGTTTATTCTAATGATTATTATGACGTCATCTTAAGGGTTTGGTTGATATTACCATTACCATTTTTATAATAAATTGTACCGAGTTTGCTGTAAAAAGACACTTACTTTCACAAAAATAACGAATATACAGCAGACCATTTTCACACTTTGCGTTTTGGCGTCACGTTTTGCACAAGACTTTCAGAGCACTTTCCTAACTCAAGAAGCTAACGTAAGCTTTGGCTGACAAACAATCTCGCTGTCCTACAACGATTACGATTTCACAGGGCAACTATTATGGTAATCATAATACAGATCGATGATGATTACGCATGTGATCATTAATATCTGTTATAACGCAGTAACCATGATTTCACTGTCCCCGTGTGGCTTATACATAAGCATAACTTGCTGCGTAACTTACTGCGTAAACATACAGTGAACCCCCATTATTTTACACTCGGACTAACTTGTCTAGAGTTTTGCTGTGCTGAATGGCTCACAATCTTTAGTCCTCCGGTAATCTCACTTGCTGATACAAAAATGTGATATGCTGACCGCTCTATTATTTATCGTTTCCAACCTTTCTACCGTTTCAGCTTCACTTTTGCTACCCGCCATACTAATTCTATTTACATCTTCATCAGTAAACGTTTGTCAATTCTCGTCGCCAACGCGAATGTATTCATTTGCTGAAAAGTTAGCATCATATGGTAACTGTTTGAGCAGCATTTCCATAGCCTTTTAAGCTCGTTGTTATTGTTACTGAAACGTAAACAAAAGTTGAGCGAAGAGAAGGTTATTATTTATATAGCCCTTACTTACTGTTCCTTCTGAACAATGTATCATAGTGTTCAACAACTGTCTCTTCGGGAATGGTTGCGATGAAACATCAGCCAATGCTTCTGATGCATTTATTAGAACATCATATACGGTATTAGTATCGCCGACACGTATGTTTGAGGTGCCGTCTTGGAAATCGTATACCCAAACTCGATTCAAAGTTGTATATTCACGTTAAAGGAATAGATGCTGCCGGCGTCGCAAGGTTTGACGAAAGGCTGTAGTATTTTGGGTGACGGAAATTAATCTCTTCAAGGATAAGTTGTACTGGCGCATTATCAACTAGCAATAAAATATTTCTATTTGTCTTTTCATATCTTTGTCAAGTTTAAAAGTGTCGTTAAAAATGCTGACTTGCATCCAGGCTGGCTCGTTCCAATAATGATAAACGGCATAGTCGTTCCTCGGGATTTTTGTGTCAATAAATAAAGCCAAGCTTCATCTTTTCACAAAAAGGTGTGACGCAAGCCTTTATCTTAATACGAGCTAAAACGCGCAAAGGTTCCATTACCAAAAGAGACCGGTTTCATCGCTATTTCAATATTATGGGTACTAAAGGTGCGTTCGTGATGATTTGCGTTCATTTTCCAACTGTTCAGCAGGTAATGCACTTGCACTTTCTCCTTGCTTTCTGAATTGACGAAATCCTATTGCGATTTTAAAGCCTGCTAGTCGATTCGTCAATCGAAAATTGATTTGCGAAATAGATGGCCCTTTAAAATCAAGTGCATTATTAACCAAAGATAAGAGCAGTTTCAAGCTGCGGGCGTTTAGGTGCGCAAAATTCAGTCCTCGGCGGTTGTAGTTGGTTGCTGTCGATGTTCCTCTTTGGCTAATTTTATGGATTAGATTTTTTGTTCTGGAACTCGGCCCATTTCGAAATTCCACGATATCACATGATTACATTGTGTTGACGCAGTTTATTGGTACATGACGTTCAGTTGGGACCAGACAACTGAGTTCTAGAACTGACACAACAATATGACGGTCAAGTTGTGATTTAGTCTAGAACTTGTCTCTAGCCAATGGCCTGATTTTTTTTTGTCACACGATAATTACTAAGGTAGATTTCACGCTATGTTTGTGTGACAAATTTATATTTGGGCAGGTATAGACAGACTTATTTATAGAAAATTCAGTTCCTATAATTTGATTTACTAGCCACAGTCACTGCCACAACTCAGAATGATAAACTATTATTATCGTTATCTACTAACTCAGTTAGATAGATTCAACCGTGTAACAGCAACTTACTAATATGGCAGTACCTGGTGCTGCGACATAATAATACCGTGAATTCATTTGCCATTAAAAATGTATTTATAACTGTGATTGCAAAGAGACATCGTACTTGTCGTTAAGCAATCACATATAGGTGAGCTTCTTTGTTCTATACTTATTATAGGCAAGTCCAGAAACTCGTGTCGATTAATCGTAAAAAACGACTTTATCATGTCTATTGTTACTCAAAAACTACATACAGTTGTATCATGATCGACTTCACGAGGTGTTTGTCTCGATTTACCAACAAGAGGACGGTGAGTATCGTGATGAATTTTATCGATTTATAAATATAAATTTAATTGCTGATACACTTATTAATTTGTTTGATAGTTTAACGAACCGGCATCGCTTCTCATACTGCGCGTATCAATATCAATCCTTATCAGTTTAATATTTATAGCGTATGTCGTTTACTTGCTGATACTCATCAATAATGATGACCCAGTGTACAGATTTAGGCAAGAAACATTAACAAAAATGGAAGTACCTGGTAAGGTTTTTGCAAATTAAACGTGATTGCAGCAAACCGACCACGGGCAATCGGTTTCACTTGTAAGTAATTTTCTGTTTGTAGACATTGAAATATGTTCGGACAACACTGAGGTTATTATAACGCAATGCATGTTTCACACGAATGAATTTCAAAATAACGAACAGTAAGTATTTTTTGTTTTTTTTTTTTTTATTTTTTTGGCCGGTCAATGTTTTTATTACTAGTCTTGTTTACGTAAATATTTTTTTGTACTCTTGTAACAGTTACGACAACTGCACAACTCCGGAAGGAATAAATTATATCAGACCAATAGACTCGGGTACTACTGGCACATTTTGTAAACTGTTCACCACAAATAAAACTAAATATTTTACGCAGTCTTCCGAAGATGGATTATTTGCGATCGAGTTTCTGTTTAAAATCATGAACCTCACGGCTACTGCAGAGAATCATCCGACAATCCCTACAATTCACATCCAGACGTATCATCCAGGTAGCTGCAGAACTGAAAAAGTATATAGTGTCAAGCACGCCTTTATATCGAGTCGTTAACTTGACAAAGCAAGCTTGACTAAAATGTTGAATTTTTCCGTTTTATTAATATTACTATTTTTTCAACTGTAGACTATAGTTTACAATGGAAACCGCCACCTGATGCTCCCAAAGCATTATTATTCGAAAATGATCTGCGAAAAGAAACAAGTGCATTTATAGGATTACAGAATTATTTTACAAAGGTATTTGTTAGGAATTAATCAAATCGCTGCGATATACTTTGTATCTCTATCTTCCATGTATGATTAAATGGATCGTTCTTAAAAAGGTTATTTTACGCCAGTCAAAAACTCGTACGATTAACCATAAAACCTTCCGATCGGTGCTCGGTCTAGAGCCTCAATATTTCGATTACTTTGCTTTTGACGTTGACGCAAAATATTTGCTCGTTCAGCCTAGTCCTACGTTCTCACCAGCAAACAACACGGGCATATTTTCCATAGAGCATCCTAAAGATTTTTCTACACAGGAGGTCAAAGAACAACAGAGGTAAGAGAAGATAATTGATTATGCCGATATAACTCTCCCATTGTTCATTATCTACTATTACACGTATTACTGGCAGAACCAAAACTTTGTTGTCTTCCTTGGGTCTCGCTGGTGGTGCTTTTGGCGTATCACTTAGTCTTTACAAAGTTCTTTTTGGGGAATCTCGATTGAAACCTTGGTAAGCACTAAGCAACAACTTTTTTTGCTGTGTTTTTTGTTATACCCTTACTCATATACGTTTTTGCAATCAAACAGGGGTATTTTTCACCGAACGTTTATTAAACAAACACGGTTTTCTAACCGGCTTCGGTCTCTTCCTTTGGTTAGTCCTGTCCAACCGCCGACTTTGATGTTGTCTTCATCAGAACGGGTTGTGCGTCTGGAAAATCGTGTACAAGAACTTGAGGAGCTGTTGCAAGAATGTTTCTTTGACACATCATACTTGAAACAAATTGGTTCAAGTTCCTTTGCATACAAGGAAGACGAAAAAGCTGTAATAATTGACGGTGTGCAGAACCCATTCGAGGGGTAGAACGAGGAGTACAATGAGTGGGGAGAGATTAACGTAAAACGTTCCCCTCATTGTGTTTCGTATGTATCATAAATGAACAACATTATATCTACGCTTGCTCTGGCTCCGAGCATTGACTCTCACTGCTGAAATTATATACACTCGCAATGCATATATCAAGCGGAAAATAATAATTTAAAATTCTTATTATTATTAATCCCGTAATTACTCTAAATGGTAGTACGATGGACAATGAAACAGACTATCTCTACAATACAATGGCATAATACACTGATTTTTTGGTTAATTTCAAATATGGCACCACCTTCTCAGTTTTCCTTCCAACTATTGCTTGCATTTTAGGTAATTCTAGTGTTTTTTTTTCTAATTATAAATTTGAGAAGACGTTAGAGTTTTAGAGTACAGTGTGTTTACTAACGTTCATGCGGAAATGGCCAACGATGCAAAATACTGCGAATGTTTCTAGAGAAGTAGGTCAATATAATGATCAATTTTTCATTGGACCCTATGGATTTAATGGATCTTGGTTAATTGACAACAAAAAAATTGTTGGTTAATTGGTAACAAAAAACTGTTGTCAATGGACCACCAATTGATCAATCCATTGGACTCAATGGATTCTTGGTTTATTAGCAACAAAAAAAACTGTTTGGTTAATTGACAACAAAAAAATTGTTGACTAATATATAATAGTCCTGACTTGAAAATTTGTAAAATATGGTTAAGAGGAATGTAGAAGAGCAGATGCCAATAAATTGAAACAGTTTAAGTGGGACAAAAAAATACCAAAATTGACTCTAATTAATTTTGTAACTTCAATGAGACAGCAGAGTGAGCTTATTGTTGAAAGTAATGGAGAACAAATTCTATATTAATATTAAAATTTATTAATGCAAGCTGTGATATGATCATAAACCTTATGTTTTTCCATTTAATTCCCGAGTAGACGGGTTGCACACCACATAAATTTTTTAAACAAGTTATCGTTTATGCTGTTTGCTACAGTAGTTATTATATAATTGCCTTTTTCTTTTAATTCCAGTTTTTTTTTGAGACAGACTGTATATTAAGGAAAATGGTTTATGGTAATTTCTCTTTAACTTTATAATTGTAATTTTCAATAGTATTTAGTTTTACAGTGCAAGTAAATGTAATTGATAACTCAAATTTCTACAATGGCTTTTATTTAACAAGTCTTCTAACTATATATAATGTCATTTTGTCTAATTTATCAAATAATGCTAATGACAAATAATAATAATTATATAACACAAAACAGATTAACTATTTAAAGGTTTTTTGATATATTACGGTTTACTTTTCGATCTTTTCTGTTTCATCGTACTTCTCATTTTTCATAGATGGTTTTTGTACACTATCAATCATTACAACGCTTTTATTCTCTTTGTATCCAAAGGCACTTTCGCCAACTTTTCTCAAGTATGATGTGTCCAAGAAATAATCTTGCAACAATTCCTCAAGTTCTTGTACACGATTTTCCAGACGCATGGCCCGTTCTGATGAAGACAATGTCAAAGTCGACGATTGGACAGGACTAACCAGAGGGAGAGACTGAAGTTGGTTGGAAATTTGTGTTCGTTTAATGAGTGTTCGGTGAAAAATACCCCTGTTGAATTGCAAACATGTACATGAGTAAGCGCAAATAAAAAACGCGTAAAAATTTGTTTTTAACATTTACCATGGTTTTAATCGAGATTCTCCAAAAAGAACTGTGTATAGACTAAATAATATGCCAAAGGCACCACCAGCGAGACCCAAGGAAGACAATAAAGTTTTTGTTCTGCCAATAATAATAAGTGGAATAAATAATTAGCAAAAAAGAAGAAAAAAAAAGTTAAATAAGCATAACCAGTTATTAGTTCAAAAATCCCTTTTTTCCTTTACCTCTGTTGCTCTTTAACTTCCTGTTCAAAAAACTGAGGCTGTATGGAAAATACGCCCGTGTTGGTTGTAGGTGAAAACGTAGGATTAGGCTCAAGGGGGAAATATTTTGCGTCAATGTCAAAGAAAAGGTAATCGTAATATGCGGGCTCTAGACCAAACACTGATCGGAAGGTTTTATGATTAATTGCACGAAATTTTGATTGGCGTAAAGAAACCTTTTCAAAATATTTATAATAATAAGAACAAATTAATTTAATTGTGCATGGAAGAGAGGGGCACAAAGCGTATTGCAGGCGCATTAGATAAAATCGTCAGTTTGAATACCTTTGTAAGATAATTTTGCATTCCCGTGAATGAGTTTAGTTGACTCCGCAGTTGATCTTCGAATGTTAATGCTTTGGGAGTATTAGGTGGCTGTTTCCAAAGTGAGTTAAAGTCTATAGTTGAAAAGACATAGTAATATTGATAAAACAAAAATTTAATATTTTGTTTAAGCTTGCATTGTCAAGTTAATAACTCGGTATAAAGACGTAATTTGGCATTGTATACTTTTCTCATTTCCGAATTACCTGGGTGATATGGTTGGATACTAATCGCAGGAACTGTACGGCTATTCTTTACGGAAGCCGTGAGATTTACGATTTTAAATAGAAACTCGACAGCAATCACTCCATATTCGGATGACTGCGGAAAATAGACAGTTTTATTTGTAGTGAACAGGTTACAAAATGTGCCAGTAGTACCCGACTTGTCTCCTGGTATAATATAATTTATTCCTTCCGGAGTTGTGCAGTTGTCGTAGCTGTTACAAGAGTATAAGAGAAAATAATTACGTAAACAAGACTAGTAATAAAAATATTAGCCGGACAAAACCAAAAGTAAAAACAAGAATAAAAATATTTGGTACTTACTATTTGTTATTTTGAAATCCCGTCATGTAAAATATGCATTGCGTTATAATAACATCACTGTTGTCCGAACATATTTCAATATCTGCAGAGAAAAAGAAAATTACTTACGAGTGAAACCGATTGTTGTGGTCGATTTTTGCTGCAATCACGTTTAATTTGTAAAAAGCTTACCAGGTATTTCCATTTTCGTTAATGGTTCTTGCGTAAACCTGAGCACAGGTTCATCGTTCTTGATGGCTACCAGTAAGTAAACGATGTACGACAGAAATATAAAACTGATAAAAATTGATATTGATACACGCAGTAAGAGAAGCGATGCCGGTTCGGTAAACTGTCAAACGAATTAATAAATTATCAGCAATTAAATCTATATTATATAAATTAATAAACTTTTATTACGATACTTACTGTCTTCTTGTTGGTATATCGAGACAAACACCTCGTAAAGTCGATCATGGTATAAAACTGTAGTTTTTGAGTAACAATAAACATGATAATGTCAGTTTTTTTACGTAAAGGACAGTTAGCCGACACGAGTACCTGGTACAGTGCTGACTACGGAATCTGCTTTTAGGATTCAAAAAGACAACACTTTGTCTCCTCATATTATGGTAAACTAATCTTGTTATTTCTATTTGAACTTTCAAATATGCCATAAAAAACATGTTGCATAATATTTATTTTTTTTTTACTTCAACGTTCTTGTTATTATAATATACAAATCAATTAAAATGTAGGCTTTATGCTAAACATTATGGAATTATAGTCGAAAGAAAAAGAGTGTAGGCATGATACCCGCGTCGTTTTTCGTAGAGCAAATGGCTGCTAAAACGACTAACCTTATAAACGTTTTTTGTTTCAAAGAATGTGGTTGTTTATTGTCTTGTCTTGGTGGAGGATGAGATTTAATATGGCATTTGGGAATACGTTGCTTGAGATTATTTAAACAATTTTGTCGGGCGCACCAGCGTTTAGTAAGCTAATATATTGGATTGATTGTCCGTGTTACCCGGCCATTCAAGACAAAATCGGAAGACGCTTATTTAAAATGTTTTCTATTTATACATTCGTGTACAATATTAGAATGAACCAATGTGTCTTGCAAATTGTATGTACTATTAACGTGTTTGCAGGGCATTGTGTAGTATGTAGGTATTCATTATAACTCGTTTATAGACAAGTAATGTTGTAAACGAAACACTTGTAACTTCTCGGTGAGAACATCCAAGTATTTCGCCAGTTGACTCAAACATACGTTCCTTTCGTTTTTCAATACGTTTAAAAGTATCAGACATATCCAGCTTATTTTTGGTATGGATCTTACCAATTAGAGAAAACCTATTTAAAGTAATCAGTATGCAACTAACTAATACAATCAAGTATGAACGAAATAGTGGAACATTCCATGTCTATAGCCATCAGATATTTTACGGTGACATTGACGATACAGGTCCTTGTTCCTAGTTGCACGGGATCGTTGCATTGTTCAATAAATATTGTACTTCCAATACAGCGAGTAATTTGACGATAGATAAATTTCAATGGTTTGATGACTGAGTTTTACCGCAACCATGCGAAAAATAGGAAATTAAGCATGGCTGCTGTGCCTACAACATTGGTTCTAATGTTTCATGTAAAACAAGCTGCTGGGGATCGAACGTTTCGTAAAAGAACTGTTGCATATCAACTTGCAGAAATGGCATTACGGTAAAAAGTTATACAGATTCGACAGTCCTGATCAAATGGGCCAGTCTCTCATTTTGTGTGTCAATCTTGAACAGGGCCAGCCTGTTATTTGAACACAAAGTTAATATGCGTGAACGGAAGTGACAAAAATAGTGAAAAACTTCCATTCAGGGGTATCCCAATCGAATATATTATACTTAAACTGCCGACTAAAGTCGATGCTTGCTATAATAATGATAGAGTTGGCGTCCTTGCGAAATCTCTAGATGTTATAGTAATGCAAGATCCCTCATTGAGATAACCACCACCAAAAATATGTCAATTGAGATGGTAACTAAAGAAGGCAAGACTTACTAATGCATTGTGCTATACCCAAACTTATTATTATGTCTCAACTTGCCCCGAATTCAAGAAAGCACAAGTCGACGTTCGACGTTCTTCGATGTTACAGACTGTATAACACATCACGCATAATAATGTGTCTTTGTGTGGAGTGTGTGATTATTAATTAATAAGTAGCAGCACACTATTGATTAAACAAACAGCCAAGTATACAATAAAACATGTCGATTAAAAACAGTAAATACGTCATTAGAGTTCTAATATTAGAACAACTATCTACAAAAATCGAATGCCAAGTCAGGGATGGAAGATTTGCAACGTCAGATAAGAAATCAATTCTCTAAAGCAAGCTAGTTTGCAGAAATATTTTATTATGTAATTAATTAACAATATAAACGTCTTTATACTTAGCGCGTAAGTCTTATCGAATACTGACTGTGTACTGGTCATTAAGTTTTCCGAGATAGTTGAATTTATTAGTCTATAAAGTAAATTGTATGATGCTCCAAACAAAATTTGACATGTGAGAGACTTTGGATAGAAATTGTGTGTGTTTGATTTATCAGCAAATGTTCAATATTAACAAACACCAAGATACAAACTGCATTGCCAATCTCCCGCTGATGAAACTATTAAAATTATCTTATGTCAACTTTAACCTTTTATCAAAGATTGGACAACGTGCCCAATCTTCATGTTTTTTAAATCAGTATACGTTTGCCCAGTGCCGACAAACAGTATTGGCTGTCCTGTCGTATAAGTCATGGATAATGCTGCACCAACCTATATCAAATATCGTTAGCATCTCAATTATTTCACGTCGCGGGCACGCAATTACAGAAGGAAAAAAAAATCAAATTACCTTATCATCAATTGTATCAAACTTGGTCAATATTATTCCATCGATCTGTCTTGGGTTTTGTAGTCCGGAAAAGTCTTTCAATGCTTGATTGAACTTTGTTAGTTGATCAACTGCTTCGTTACCAACCAGTGCTTCGCCGACAAATATTATTTTATCCGGATCGTTTACCGTTACAAGCTAATCAATTAATCAATTGACGAGAAATAGTTGCCGGGATTAGTTCAATTTCAAATATGGGGGGTATAAGCATGTTTCAGTTATAATATGCGTTCGAACCTTTGCCAAAGCTCGCATCAAAGGTTCATTGTCTTGCATTCTTCCTGCTGTATCGATCAATACAACGTCGAACCTATTTGTTTTTGCTAATCAAATAAATACTACTTTAGAATTCCATAACCAAGGCTTAAACAAACCCTCCTCCTTCTCAATGTTATCTTGTTTCCACACCATATGAAATAGCATCCTTTGCGATGCCAGCGGCATCCTTGCCATAGCCTCTCTCATATAGCTCCACTCCCTTCCCTTGTCCCAACATATTAAGGTTCCGCACATGTACTCTCAACTGTTCAACTGCACCCGACCTAAAGGTATCGCATGCAGCAATAAGAACGCGTAAATTGTTCTGCAGAAGCCAGAAACAGGTTTTGGACAAGTTTGTCGATTTGCCTAGATGAAAATGATGAAATGTGACGGAAAGATAAGTCGACTTGTGAAATTTTCGAAACAAAAAAACAGCATTTCACCATATTGAGATAATCACCAACTCCATTGACGCCGATAAAGCAGATAGTGTATGGACGGGATTCTGACTGTGCTTGTGCTATGTCACGTAACAGATCGACAGATGTCTTTGGTGTTAGAATTTTTGTTAAAGAGGCTTCCATTGAAAGTTTCACCGCCGAGTGCACACCTAGGTATAGAAATCTAACCGTTAGTGAATATGGAACTATACCACATTAGGATTCGGGTAACATAAACATCCCCGCGCATTAATACATACTTCTAAAACTGCCCAACTTTTGTCCAACCAAATTCTTTGTAATGGAATCGCACAAGTGGGAAGCAATATCAGCGGCAACGTTCTTTTTAATCAGATGTTCTCTCATGTTAGCCATGACTGGCGCCAAGTCACGTTCAGTTAATTCCTTCTGACCCGTGATACTCTTGAAGAATGAAAATATTCCACCATTCTTATTCTGCACATTAACTTCGTCGACTTCGTCCTCTTCATCTTCCTCCTCACTATCATCCTCATCATCATCATCATCACCAAGATCTTGTACTTCGTAATGACCATCTTTGAAATGACGTCCGAGTTTGCGTTCGTCAACAAAATTTCTAATTACTTCTGTCGAATCAAGTTCCGAATTCTTCGAGTTGCTATAATCCAGACTCTCGGCTTCTTCCTTGCTCACTTTGTCATCCCATTTTCGCATTACTTTTTTTCGTGTTTGGCTTTGATCTCTTTGATAAGCAATAATTTTTGAACAAATGATAAGTATACCAGTATCGGGTAACCACGAAAATATAACGCGTACGCGCATAGGAATATAATATTTACACTGAATTGACTTCTGTAGATTGTTGTTTGTTGCCTTTTTTCTTCTTTCCTGTCGTTCGAGCTTTCCCACCACGGGAAAGAATATCTTTATTCGCAGGGAAAGCGTCTTGATTCTCAGAAACTGATTCTTGCGGATTGCGGAGATCACTCACGTCTATGCATCAAAGCCCAAGGAGTAAGTGAATGAATAGAAGGTTTTGCATAAAACTTTCTACTATAATATGCTTACCGTTACCCGTTTTTGCGGCATCCAGCGTTGATTTGTACTTTTTTGTTTGGTCAAATTTCCGAGGAGCTTGTCTTTTCTCCTACAAAGCGCATAAAAGGTAAGCATAAATTTACTTTCTTTTCTTTTTTGCGAGAAGATTTACAATACCAAATCATTTACCTGTTCCCCTTTTCTTTCTAGTCGGGTGCGAATTGTATCAAAATCGCTGTCGAATTCAAAGTTATGAATTTTCGAAGTGTCCCTGATAAGAGCTGCGAATTTTTCACAAAAGTACTTCTTAACCGTTGACAATAGTTCGTCTATATATGCCAATTGAAGAATTTTCTGGTACGCTACCTACAAATAAAGGCGTCGATAGTTCGGCAAGTGAGAACGAATTTAAAGTTTGACGTGACTAACGAGCGTCACCAGCGGTTGTCATACTCACCACAAAGATCAAGTCGAGCTCGTTTGCAAAAGTCCATTTTAAACAGTACGAATCCTTTACATATTCGGTCTCGCCCGCACGTTCCTCTATCAAAACCTCTTTAATCAGTGGATCCACAGGTGAGGTTCTCACTCTTGCGAACGTTTTTGACCAAAGGACTATACCTCCTTTGGTCAAGATAGTGAAAAAGTCCAACATTTTGTAAGGAAGTAAGCGCAAGGAAAGTTATGGAGAATCTTGATCAAGGTGAAATAGAACAAGACAAGCCTTACGATGTAGGCATCGGGTTTAGAAGTGTTATTAATGTCAGGGTTACGGGTAAATGTTATTTTTTATTTTCAAGTTATATTCACGTGATTTTATACAAGCATATATATATATATATATATATATAAAGTACATGTTAATGTTAATGCAAAAATGGAATTACTTTACAGTATGAGAGCTATTAATTAAATAACATCAAAGATATGAACGGTTTTTCTTTGTACAAGGGATGATGAGAAAAATGCCATAAGTATTCACGATGATTTTGTTATCGAAGACGATGCATTATTCCAAGATTATTGGAGCAATGAGGGCAAGTATGTTGTGCATCTTTTGGTTAATGAATGACAGAAGAAAACGTTAGACCATCACGATTTACAATTAGTCATAACGTAAACTATAGTCATTTGCGCATTCACTTACCCTTTGTTGCTTTGAGACAAAATGGTACCCAAAATAATATGACAGTTGTAAGCAATAATGCTGTTGCAAGAGCATATGTGCATGTTCCATTACGATATCTCACAGTTGTGGTTACGAATTGACTGCAGTGTGGACACTGTACTCTAACTGGAAAGTCAGGATACTTGAGTAATGGCGATACGGTCAAGCTTTTGCGTCTCTCTTGTGGTCGAACCCGTCGTTCCGTCCTAGATAATCCCGATGTAGACTTCTCTTCGCCGGTATGTGCGTAAGGGATTGGTGTATAGACTACTGATGTTTGCGAGAATGACGAGGTCATATGCGACTAGTATTATAGCATCTATTTGTTGTCTTTGGGGAAAATTAAATACACGTACGATTTGTTTCGTTTAAAATTTTTTTTTTCTTTTCGACCAACCTGTGTTTATATTAATATGTGAAATAGAATCTTTTGTATCATAATTAAAATTTTTTTTTCTTTCCATCGTACATTCCTAAAGCGTGTGTGATATACGAATGATATCATAACGGCAGGGTGGGAAAGGGTGAGCTGTCAAATAAGGAAACAAGAGTAACCTAAATCCTGATCATCAGGTTTTAATTAAACCCCTATTCTCGAATTCTCTCGTTTCGTGCTTTGGTTACAACTATCTCACTGGCATGTCTTACCATTATCAATAAACACTCCTGTCTTCAAAGTATTACAAGCCCTACGCTCGACAACGTGTATGTACAATTCATTACGTTCATTACGTTCAGGAAAAGAGTGGTTGATAACGATCGTTTAGTATATCTTTCACGTGAACACGTTACACCTAATGTGAAGGTGAAAGGTGACGACATTCCTTTTCTCTTCAAAACTTGATTTGTTATAGACCAAACCCATATCGTCATTTGATACCAAACACGACGATGTTTCTGGTAACCGTTTTCAGAATAGCAGAAAGAGATTGGTTTAATACCGGTTACTTAAATATAGATCAGAGCTCGTCGATGATATAAGTCGTAAAGTAGTACTATAAAACGGCGATTCTAACAAAGTGACATAATTATGCTTTTATATCTTATAAACGGGTGCTTGAGAAACGATTTCTTGTCCTGTGTTTTATAACAACAGCTAGGGACACAAGTCACCCGTTTAGCATCGTACAAAATGCCTATACAAATAGAATAATAGATAGCAGCGAATCGATTTAAGAAGCCAGCGACCAGATCAGATATTAACATTAATGGCCGTTTGTATGGATTAAGTCTTTGATACCAAACAATATTAATATTGTTCACAACAACGTAATACTGGACCATCATCAGCAGTGCGTGTTCCCATGACTTTATTGAATCTTACTTTGCGTATTATAATAGCTTTCTTTACAACATAAATTTAGTGTTATATATTAGCAATAATTTATTCAAAGCTTAATGGCACGGCCTTTGGATAGGAAAATCAAGTAAAAGGTTTCCAAGTTTTTTACTATTCCAGTTTATCCGCAGATACGCTATAATAATAAATGAACAAGATTTCTCTGCCAACGATATTAATATTGATAGATCTCAGACGTGCTTTCGTGATATTTCATCAAATGTAAAAAATACAGCATTAAATTTATCTCATTTTACTCTGTTATTAAAAATGAGATTTTTTTGTCATGTCTTTAACTACCTTTGCATTTTTTCAGAACATAGGGAATTTTATCTTTCTGCAGAAATTCAGTTTGGATTAATAAAAGTAAATTGTTCACTGCTTACATTTAATTATATCATCTTGCTTTGAGGTATGAAGAAACTGTCAATGCAATTGCGCAATTGCTCACTTTGTACTTCAAATACTTTAACATTCAACGCAACTCTTCTCTAAGATCAACTACAAGGCTGTGACAATCGGGATTAGGCAAAACACTTCTAAACGCAATAGTTTATGTACAACATCATCTTATCACGTTTTTCGCATTATTTGAAAACAGCAATTATACGACATAACTTTTATCGGCAATCTTTAATTGTCTTTCGGCTTATGATTCATTAACTTCAAAGATATGGTTCAGTTTTGTAAGCTGATGAGATTCTTCGGATTGACAACGACTTTTTATATGACATGTTTTTTCCCAAATACCTTCGGATTGCGGATTACAGAGATTTATAAAAGTTTAAATAAACTTTTTACTGTAACTCAGGCCAGTGTTTGTACGAATTAACAAGATCGACTATTTCATTTGCGAAGCTCAGAAATAATGGCGATCGTTTCATATCTACGTCGTCACTCAAACAAAAATTTGTTCGCTTAAATTTTGTATCACCAAATAGTTTGTGTATTTTGTTCGTTTATTTTAGACTGATTGAGAGTATATCGCCATTCTCTTTCCCACCCCTTCCGACTAATACTAATACCAATGCCGATTTCTGATAGTTTTTTCCCGACAGCACTATTATTAAGATAAATATTAGCGTATAGTTCCGAAAATAAGTACCCTTTAACAATAGTAATAGGCGGTGCTTATTTTGGAGATCACAACTTCGTGTCATATAATCACAAGTTTGCAAGCGTGTGAATATAAACAGTCACATGCTATAGAAACATTAGAAAGATATTTTTGCATCAATTGTTGCGGGTAGGTGCATGTGGTGACGGTCAATTTGTTTGACGGTGATACAACCATTCAACTCATTAAATTGAATAGCTGTTTATGATGTTTCCTAGTGCGAAAGAGCGAGTTGGTCCCTCGTAGTTTTGAATATTTTGTCGAGCACGGCTAGTCTTTTAAAAAGGTGGTGTACAATGAATTTTATCTGCAGTACGTTATTTTTAGTGTTAAAGACTTATTGACTTGCCAGTTGCACTTTAGCAAGCACTTTGCTGTAATTAAAAGTTTCCCGCAATATTTGACTTGCAAGTTGTTATAAAAAACATTGCAAATGGAACAAAATTGCTGACTGTTATGCTCTTAATTTACTCACGCAGTAAAAACTTATCAAAGGTATCTATCTATGTAAACAGTAATGACTGAATTATCGAGCTGGCAATTCTATAGGCTTTTTACTTGTGGTATCTGCGAGTATTGTTGATTCCATTAACTAACATGTCTACCACGCATTTATTTAATTACAATTAGTTACTATTAAACCGAGACAGCTAATTGTACAAGAAAAATTGATCAATTATGTTAAAAAAATCACCTTATTATTGCAAATGAAAATAAAACCAATTCAGAAACATTAATACGTACTGTTGTTAATACTGTTACGGTTCATAAAACTAACTCTTTTCGTATAATTTTTTATCATTTGCAATGGATTGTGGGTATTCTCATAATGATAAAAACTAAAATCTTGAGATAACATGTTGTACATTTGGTTTAAAAGTTTTTCACTTTTTTTTTTTTTGATTGTAAATACATTTGTTAATTCGAAAACTGATTTATAGAGACACGACTTGTGGAAGAAAGTCAATCGGATCTGGCTAAAGGTAAATTATGTGTGCCAACGATCATTCGAAAATCCAAATTACTGGCGTTTATTGTATTGAATAATATAAGCCCGAGGATAATTCTCTTGCAATTCAGTCAATTTGATACTCCGTTGAGCCTGCAGGAGGAGATAGAGATAAAGCAGATGCAATACAAAATTTGTCTCGGTTAATTTATAACTTTCCCGAGATGTGCCTTTCAAAAATGAGTAAAACTCAATTATATGCATCTTCAGATCCTCAACCTCATCGTAATCTCTCATCTATATTAACTCACTCTTTGTAACATTATCAGCGTATTGCATAAATTAGCCAAAGGTATTTCTAGTACATTGAGTAAATTCTGTTGCAAGAGATTAAGCTCATCCTCAACCCGGCAATTGAATGAAATAATTCCTGTGTTTGTGTCTCACCTGAAATATTCACACGTAAAATTTTTTAAATAACAATAATGTCGAGCACTTTGAGTCTGTCGCATTGGTTTTTTCTGGTTCTATTAACCTCATGGACGATCACAATTCAATGGACCTGATAGAAAATGAATTTTTGATCACATATACGATCGAGAACATGTGTAGCCACCTTTTGGTCTTGCATTTGAAAATTCCCGTCTGTTTTCGACATACAGTCAATTCCCTTTAATTCGATCCGGAATCATCGGTCGAATAACGGCAGACCGTACTTAAGGAAAACAATATAAAATAATCGGGTCTTGCTCAAGCGATCGAATTATCGGAGGTCGAATTATCGGAGGTCGAATTATCGGAGATCTATCGGCAGTTGGCTGTAGCTATTAATTGACGTAAAATTATGCATTATTTTTTTTATATGCTTTTACTGCATGCTACTAACGGCATTGTGGAATCAATTCACGTGCGTTTATGAAGCCTAATTTGGCCAACTGTGGCCAATACTTTGTTCAGGGCGCTGATCCTATTCAAATATAACCAACAATGTCAAAATTAACTAATCGAGAAACCAAATCGGTAATAGTATGTTGCGCAGCAGATACCGAAATCGTAACTGCAAGGGCAATCAACAGTTCGCTGAGTTTACCGTGATGACATATACTTAACCGAAGCGGTAATAGATTCCGGGGCGAATTAATTGACGGAGCAAACGACAGTGCGCAGCTCCTGTCATAGATGAGAATACGGTTGAAAGTCAAGGCTGATTGAAGAGTGCGATTGAAAGTAGTCACTTGAAATGTCAGTCGCTTCTTATCAAAAGATGCCATTGACTAAACTTTTATTAAAATTCGAACATTAAATATATATAATACATTTTAAATAGCCATTATCAGGCAACAAGATTGAAAGAAGTTTTGTATATTTTCCCCGTTTTCTGATTACGGGCAGAGGCTTTAACTTCCATATTACCAAAACTAAGCGAAAATTCCACAGGTCTGTTCAGACCATTTTCAGTATCCGACGCCGTGACCTCCAGTTCACCCAAGAGCTTCATCCCGGGTTCATCGGGATATTTTGCATCTTTTTTATCCGTGTACAAAATTCGGAAAACCAGTTTTGTCTGATCATTTTTAACTGGGTAATAGGTTCTCGAAAACGGCTTGTTTATCTTAACGAGAGTATCTCGTTCGACGATTTTGTCAAACTTGTAAATGCGATTATCATCTCGCATTTTATCCCTTGGGTCTTTTTTGGGATCAAACGCAGGTTTGATTTCAATACCAAATGTCCATTTTAGCATACGGCCGTTGATGTAATCCACGTTCAACCCATACCATACTGCTCCTCGGACAACAGCTGCAATGGGTGAACGTGGCACAGCTATGGTCGGAACCCGCTCATTGAATATTTCTTTCACTCTATTCACAAGATACTTCGACTCACTAAATCCCCCGACAAGAAACATTGCGGAACATCTTGTACTTAGTGACCGCAACTGATGCTCGATAAGTCCGATTATTTGATCAACTACTGGATCAAACATTTTCTTTACGGCTGCAAAATCAATTTCTATCAGCCAATCATCCTGTTCCGCATTTCTTCTAGCTTCCCCTGTTACGTAGTCCTTTAGCGCCGCGCACTCGCGCTCTATATCCAATTCTACTAGGCGGAAATCTTCTGGATTACCGCTGAACGGAAATTTAATACGCGGACAGAAAACCTTATGTACAAGATACTGCATCTGTCTGTAATTCTTTGTTCGTAATTTTTCTATGGCATCATGTCCAAGAACGTCCCCCAGGAAGTTGAGGAATGCCCTGTCGACAAATGTGCTGCCGCATAAATCTCCCGTGCGTACGGTAGCCTCATCCAGTTTATTGTCTCCTAGTAGTTTCCGTGCTGTTAAATCTACGGTACCGCCACCGCAGTCAACCACAAGATATGTTTCTACAAAAAATTGCCCATTCAGGTTAGAAGCGGTTTCCGTCCATATATTTGAAAACATTGACTCTACATACCTCCCGGTTGTATTTTGTACTGCTGTTGAATTTCGATGCAGTATAATGCTGCCGCCTCGGCTAAATAAAATGTAATTGCGTTGAATTGAGATATCAACATATTAAACGTTTAACGATAAAGAGATTCCCATTTCTTATAAATGGTTTCTTACGTTCCGTTGTAAAATCCAATTGATCTGTATATCTCTCTGCAATAAGTCCCGCCATATATGCGCATTCGCGCAAAATTCCTGGCGTACCTGGACCCCATTCAGCAGGCAACGACATAATTAATCGCACCTGTTCGGGAAATTGAACATCGGGCCATCTCCGTGCAAGAGTTTCTTTAATTAACTGATTACAGCGAAAAAGTTCAGTCTTGATAAAATCGTTAACATACGAAAATGTCACTGAAAATTTGCCCTTCTTACCTTGCGTAGTTCACGCAAATAGTCTGTTATTACCATTGTATATGTTAATCCGTCGGGAAGGGCTGGTTTGTCCTCTTCTCTGAGTACGGAGAGATGTAACTTAAACAGTTCAATCGGATCCGATTGAACTGATCTCTTATCTCGAGATCGTCTGTCCTTCTTTCTTCTAGGTTCTGGCTCTTTCATCAGGGCTGGTTCGCCCCATTCTGACACTTCTTGTTCGTCGTTGTACTGAACAACAGTATGTGCCTTAAATCCAAGTTGCCCTCCAGGCCTTATTTACGTAAGATAT